GGAAACAAATGATTGAGACAAGCAGTAGCTTCTTCATGCAAGGGATCATACTCCTTTGATAACATTGATCATCTGCCCACTATTGAAAATCACTAGTAAAAAAAAACCAAAAGTGAAACAAAATGAGAAAGTACAATGAGGTAATCTGAGAGAATTATTAATTTCCAAAAGAATTAAATATGTTTTTAGTCTCTCAACTTTCATCAATTTTTGTTTATAGTCCCTGAGTTTTTTTTACTAATTTTAATCCTTGAACTTTTGCCAATTTTTACTTTTAGTCCTTGAACTTTGTCTCCTGTTAATATTTTGGTCCCTAGCATCAAAAAGATTTGTTCATGGATAAAAATTTCAAAGACTAAAATCAAATAAAATTTATTCAGGGAATAAATGAAAATTGACAAAAGTTCAGGGACTAAAAACATTAAAACCTTTCCAAAATGTTGAACATGTACGAATGAGGAACTCTATATTTATAGAGTTTCAAGATACACTAGACCAAATGATCTAGAGCCTGTTTAGATAGACTTCCATAAGCACTTCTAGAGAAGAAAATAAGAAGGAAAAATTAAATGTGAAAACAAGAGATGCTCAATTCGTTTTTCTTTCCGATTTGCTTGTCCTAGAAGTACTTATGGAGAAATTTAGCAAATCATGCCTCTAGAAAGAAGTACTTATGAAAAACTTTATCAAGACAAGCCCCTAAAACAATTATTTGACTGCTAGGAAAACCAAGTACTAAGCTGGATACTGTCTAACTCTAGCTAATTAAGAAGGGGTACAAGTGCAGTGCAGTGGTTCTCACAGTAAACTAAGAGCCCACGCATTCACAGGCTAAGCTATAGCAACAGTTACGCGCACACAGAAAGAAGCAAAATACTGAAATTAGACGCAGCAACAATAAACATGGAGGTACCTAAGCCAAGGGGTTACTTCCTCCACCAACTGAAGCACCTTCCTGAAATGGCCATCCTCTTTAGCCAAACCCGCGGAAGCGCACCTCACGAGGCTGGCTACAACCTCAACTACCAACTTGCACAAATCTCCACCATCTCCATCGCCCTTATCTATCTCAGGGAGAATCCTACCCTTCCTCTTGGGCGACCGAAGCTTCTCCAAAACCGCAAAACCCTCGGCCTGGGCTTCGTGGAGCAGGGCGCAAGACTCGAGGCAGTGCATGAGGCGAAGCCTCTGGAACTCGACGGAGAAGGGCTTGGAAGCCAACTGCGAGGCGACGGCGTCGAGGCAGCGGAGGCAGAGCCTGTAGACTTGGAGCAGTTCGTGGAGCGAGACGGCGTGGTGGGAGTTGGCGACCTCGGGGAGGCGTTTGGGGAGGATGGATAGGGAGGCGTTGAGGAAGGAGAGGAATCGCTTGGCGAGTGATCGAATTAGGGTTTGGTCGTGGCTTGGCTTCTTTGATGGTTTGAGATCCGCGAGGGGGCGGAGGTAGTCGGAGACTTGGGCGTGGATGCCGGTGGAATCGGAGGACTGGAGCTTGGAAATGAGAGATGATTCGGAGGGAGAAGCCATGGGAAGAAGAGAGAGAAGTTGGAGTTCAGTGAATCGAAGAAGAAGAAATGAGGGCTAAGTTTGCAGGGCGCCAACCACACCGCTTCTACTTTTATTTCAAAAACTTTGGGGATGGAACGGAGACTCGCATATATATATAACGGTCTTTTTCTTTTTCTTTTTCTTTTTTTTTTCAAAGAAAAACAATATTCATACATGCATTTCTAATAATATTTGTGGTAAAAAAAAATAATTATTTTACGATACGGTAATTTATTATTATTTATTAGATGAAAATGTAAAAATATTTATACTATATTTTAGTTTAATAAAATTAAGTGAAGAAAAGGTATTGGTATTTGTTGAGTGCTTGAATTATAAAACTTTTTTTAAAATCAGCTAAAAAATACTTTCGTTAAAAAATAGTTTATATAACTATGTTAGTTCTGTGTTGTTATTTTAATTTATATATATAAAAACATCATTAACTTGAATAATTTTTTTATCCCTAGAAAATAAGGGTGTTCTCATTCCTTCTAAATTTCCTTTGAAAGAGTATATGTGATGTTAGTAGAAAAGTGTAGAGTGATGATTTGGTTAATGGGTGTCCATGTAATTCTACGTCATTTTGTTCATTTCGCTCTATAAGAATAACTAAAAAAAAAAAAAAGTTTTTTGGGGTAAACATACTAATTGTTTGCTACATTATTTGTTTGTCTCTTAACAAAAATGAGCTTTAAAACTAGATTTGAGAATGAGTTAAGTTAATCTCAGATCAGCTCAAGTAAAGTTCCGCTTTAAATGTGTGTTTGAAAAATTGTTTATACACGTAGAAACGAACATTTCTTCTTTCGAATGCAAAACTAACAAGTATCAATGTGTTACTTATTCATTGAACGGAAATCGAATATATTGCAAGTAATCATCCACTCCACTGCGTGTTTACATTATGTATACTGCAATTTGATTCAAAAATAAAAGTTATAAGAATGATTGAACTTAGAAGAGCATCTGCTTCCCCCTACATCCATATGATTTAAACCACTTATAGCAAGCACAAAGTTTCCTTCCTCACTCATTACAGCTCCCAAAACCAGTAAGACCCAAATCTTAAAAAAAAAGCTCCATTAGAGTCACATTTCAGAAATATTTTTGTCTGATAGGATTCTAGACTATAATTGTTTTTTATTCATAGAAATCAAATACTCAAACTTTAATTAAAAACGAAGTAGAGAATATTTTAATGATAAAAAATTATGTATGAAATTTCGATAGTAAAGATATTTACGTGAAAAAATTAAAGTTAAAAGTTTTTTACTTATTTATTGGAACTACAATAACAATATCAAAATTCTAACATGAGACCTTGTGTATTTTATTTCAACTTCTACCATGAGGTTGATATTAATAGTTCAGCAATGTAAAAGTTTTACATAAGATTATTCATTCTTGAATGAATTTTAAAATGGAGTCATTTTAAAACTAATAGTAATATTTTGATAAAATAATTGTATTCTTATTGAAAGTTTATCTTTAAAACTTGTTGGGAAGCAAAATTATTTAATAAATTATTATGATAGATAAGTGATGGTATTTTTAACTTTTAGGTTTTAAGATAATTACATGTATAAAATCGAATTTTGAAGGATAAAAAAAAGTCAAAATAGCAATAAAGGTAACAATTAAACTAATTCACACAAATTAAGCGAAACAAATAAAAATTTTACACTATAAGTTTTTTTAATTGCAACAACTTAAATATTGAGTTCAAATTATCATAGCTGTTAATACCTGTCATCCAATAAATCCTCTCTAAGTTGTATTTTTTTTTTTTTTTGAAACAACCTCTCCAAGTTGTATATCTTAAGTTTCTAACCTTGAGTGAAAATTTGTGATTTTTTCTTATTTATAATATGTTCAAATGATTGGATATTAATGTGATATTTATTTAGAATAATTGACTTAGTAGTAAAGATTAACATAAATGCATAATTATAATTGTTATGGTGTTTTTTTTACTGTTAAAAATATTAATTTCTGAGAAATAAATAAAAATTAGTCATTAATTAAAAAAAATAACAGTTGAAATTTATAAAATTACACAAACTAATATGTAAGTCATCCATTTAATTCAAAATATATATTTTTTATTTTATTAAAGACTTTTTTTTAGAAAAACAGATAATCACTCTTAATAAACCAATATTATTTCTTATGTAATTATTATTTTAAAATATTATTAATACTTTTTTACAAACCTAAAGTAAGGGTTTTATCTGTCTTACCCTTTTAACAGCATGCTAACCCGTTCATGTACATTACTTATAGTATTGCTTAATTTTGTTAGGTGAATTAAATTATTTATATTGTTTTAAAAATAACTAATATTTTAACATGTATAAACATTTGTTTTATGTAACCGAATTTTATGATAAATAAATATTTTTATTATATATTATATTGTTATAATTAAAATTTATAATAAATTAATAGTTTTGAACATATATATCATATTTCATATTTATGATAAATAATTTTTATATAATTTTTTTAATTATTAATAATTTTTAAAAAAATATTAAAATAAATATGAAAAATGGTATATTCAAAAGATAAGAAATTAAAAGATTATCGAAACAAATATGAAAATAATATATTTAAATAGATAAGAGATTAAAAAATATTAAAGTATGAAAATGATGTAAATAATATTTAAATTTTGAAGATAAGATCTACATTTAAATTTTAATATTCATTTTTTTTTTATAGATAATAGACTTGATTCATATGAAGAGAGTAAAATACACGTTTATCCACGTGAATCATGAGAGAAAAATACTCAAATAAAAATAATTGTGAGTGATTTATGAGAGAAAGTGAGAAAAGTGAAACATTTACAAAATAAAAATTATTTTAATATATATTCACACACATATGAGATTTTCAAATATCTTAAATATTATTAAAAAAATAATTTTAAATTCATCTCTATATATTAAACACATGTAATAATTTTTTTAGAGATTTATTTATAATAATGATGTTTTTAAGTAATTTTATTTGATAAGAGGATTTTATGAATTTTTTTAACCATTTTAATCTATTTTAATTTTTATTTATCATATTTATTTATAAATTATTTTTAATTTATTTAAAAATAGCTATCAATAACTAAAATTAATTTTGTGTCACAAATATAAATTATATATCACAAATTTAAAATATAATTTATTATAAAATTTAATTATATATTATACAATAAATATTATATTGTACAGATTAAAATATTAATTTATAGTTTAATTTCATAATTATTTTTTGGAATACTTTTAAAATTATAATTTAAAATGCATTAATTTTTTGGAAAAAAAAAATTGAAAGTAAAACAAAAACACAAATCGACTAACCAAAACGAACAGTGCAACAAGTAATTTGGATGTAAAAAGCCCATTTTAAATAAGAAAGCCCAGCCCGAATATAAGAGGAGGCGAGTACACGAGTCTCTATTATATTGTATTCATCTTAAAACTAAAACCCTACAAACACCGGAGAGAGAAGTTGCAACTGCGAAAGGGTTAAGCGAATCAGCCTCAAAATGCCAAAGTCGAAGCGAAATAGACAAGGTTAGGGTTGCGTTTCGTTGTTCTGAACATTCATTCTCTAAATATTCCTTTTTTTTTTGTTGCTGATGTTGTGTGCATTCAAAATTGTAAGCTAAGACTATAGTTTTGTTGACATAACGAAATAAAAATGGCAGTTACGTTGTCGAAGACGAAGAAAAAGGGAAGGGATCATAAAGAGACGATAGTGAACGGAATAAAAGAGGCAGCAGAGAAGTACGGGTGGGTGTACGTGTTCTCGTTTGAGAACATGAGGAATCAGAAATTCAAGGAGTTCAGGGAACAGCTGAAATCGAGTAGCAGGTTCTTTCTCGGTTCTAACAAAGTAATGCAGGTTGCTCTTGGTCGCTCCGCCGCTGATGAAATCAGACCCGGCCTTCACAAGGTTTCAAAGGTTGCATCTCACTCCTTCAAACCAAACACCAACTAAAAAATTATATTTTATGTGTATTTTTCTTATTATGTTCTTTTTTATATATATATATATATATAGCTTTTGCGTGGAGATGCTGGAATGGTTTGTACGAATTTGCCTAAAGAAGAAGTTGAGAGGTAACCTTTGCAATACTGGAAATTAAAGGCTATGCTACTATATGTTTTATTCTTCTCATCTCTTTAGCAATTTAATGGTGTCAAATGTTTAGCGATGCATAGGTAACAAGCAAATCATGTAAATTTATTATTTACTTGGTGTGATTAACATCCTTCTTTGAGGAAATAATGTTGGTGAGGGGGTGATCTATTACTATTGGCGATTATTACAGGTGTCCCTGTTTCTTTCTGACTCTTACGTGGTTTTTTGTTGATGCAATTTTGCAGGCTGTTTAAAGAATTTGAGGAATATGACTTTGCAAGAACAGGAAGCAATGCCACTGAAAAGGTGTTTAGAGTGTAGTCCATTCTTAAGTTGATAATTTTTTGATTACTACTTTCGTGTTTTTTGTTTATATGGATGCAATGAGTCCATGGCTTGTTTATGAACCCAGAATTATCTTCCATGTCAATAGAAACAATTTGCCTGTCATATCCATTAGATACTCAATTCTATTTTAATCTATGAATGAAACTTACACTTTCACGATATGGGTGTTGTAGGTGGATCTAAAGGAGGGTCCTCTAGAGCAGTTCACGCATGAGATGGAACCTTTTCTCCGGAAGCAAGGCATGCCTGTTCGGTTAAATAAAGGTACTCTATTGCATTACTTTCTAACTTTGGTTTAAACGCACATGCCAACGGCAGGCATGCATCATTCATGCTTCCAATTATTTCAGGAGTTGTGGAGCTTGTTTCAGATTTTGTTGTTTGTGAGGAAGGGAAGCCCTTGTCACCTGAGGCTGCTCGCATATTGGTTAGTTATTTTCTGTTGTTACCCGATACATTCATGACTGCCGTTGTAGCATTTTTACAATTGGAACAAAGCTATAGATTTTTTTTCCCTGGAGGAAATTGTTGCTTGTGATTTGTTTCCTCTTTAAATGCCCTATATATATATATATATTTCAAATTTCTTTCCTTTGTAATCAATAACTTAGGCTAGTAATAGGCATGCATGTTATCCTCTGTTATGTCACACCTGCCTGTGTCAATTTAATACTCGTTTAAAGTGTTAGTAACTGAGACTATTATGATGGTATCTACATTATTCGTGCTCTATAAGATAGTGAACCTGACATGCTGACATGGTGACTTTTCTTAATTACAGCGTTTGATGGGAATCAAGATGGCTACATTTCGACTGAACCTAATTTGCAGGTGGAGCCCCGATGAGTTTGAGCTTTACATTGATGGGCCGGATGAATCAGATGTTGAATGCTCGTAGTACTTCTGTTTGCTCGTTCAAGATCATGGAGCCCCCCAAAAAATGTTGAAGATTACAAGATACGACCCGTAATTTGCATCCTCAGTGCAAAAGCCTTTGTTTTAGATAATGTATTTTTAGTTGAGTTGATTTGTGGGAACTAGGCCGAGTGGTTAACAGGGAACTGGCGTATGGCCATTGTCTGTAACTTATGAAAAAAATCAAATTACTGTGATAAAGTTTTGATCGGTTTAGATGGATTATTTTGCTGCTGATATATAATTTTTATCAATTGAAGATTATAGTATAGATATCCCTTTAAGGGAACTCCTGAAACTTCCAATTCTATCGATCAAGAAAATTATCCTGCTACCGCGAAAGCTAAACACCGTGTTTGCATATTTTGACCAAATTTAGAGGGGACACTGTTGTTTTGTAATTTTAGTCAATCATCCAATTTAGGTACCCCAGCCCTCAAGTGAGACTCATACTCGTTTGATTTTTGTTAGATAACGCATGTTTGATCTTCTTAACTTATGCTAGCACGGTCTTTAAATAAAATTATAACTGGATTTTCTATAGCAAGAAATCAAGACTTTTGAAAGTCTTAATCATTTTTTAAGTTAAAAAATGATATGTACTTAAATATAACCGCAATTCTTCATGATAAGATGGACATAAAATCTTTCTAAAAAAACATTAGTATGAACTTCCCATTCTTATGATGCCTTATTCATGCTGTTGTTTTTTCATCCTTGTATCCTCGAATAATTTTAGTTCCTTGCGCCTATATCGAGTTTGCTAACTGCTCTGGCTTCAAATCTTGCTACGCAGTTTTCTGCCGTAGGGTTTCTGTTAGTCGAATCTGCACCCAAGAGGCAAATGTAAGTACTATTTGAGCCCTTGATAAGTTCTTAAGCAAGAAAAACTTGAAATTAAAACACATGAACTGTGTCTGTGTCATAAGCATCCATCCATATAACTAGAGCAATGTTAAAGAAACAACCTTATACATGATCAGTCCTCACGAACCAAGTACTCCCTTGGAAACAACTAAAAACTGCCCACAGTTTAGAACCAATTAACAAGTTGACTGTGGATGGCACATATTCATTCGGGCTTCTTGCCAAAATATAGACACGCTTGTTAAACACATCTGCAGTCTGAAAATTAGGGATATATTGATTCCAGTAACTTATTCCTTAATTCATATCCATGTCATGTATAATTATACTGAATAGACAGCAGCAACTCAGTACTTCTAGTTTTAGGAATTAACTTAGAAATTGATATTGGATGCTTTTGATACTATTTTTCAATTAGAATTAAAATTTAACTTCGATGATTTGTTAACTGCATAATAAATAAATAAATGTTTGTATTAAATATCAACTTATATTATGAAGGTGAAATTCAAATTCTAACGGAAGAACACCACAAAAAAATACCTAGGGAACCACATCTGAATCTTGTCCGTATTTTGATACCATGTCATTGTATTAAAATAGAGAAGAAAGCGAGCAGGAGCAAATCCTATCATAGAAGGCAACTTGTCAGTGTCATATCAAATTATCAATACCACCACATTAGCAACAGTATCAACTATCCATATAAGTGCAGATTATCAAGAACTAAACTACTTAATTTTAAAATTTAGAAGACTAAATAAGCACAATTGAGAAAAGGAGAACTAAAATCTTAAATAAAAAATTATACGGACAAAAATGCAATTAAGCATTTTAATTTTAACTATACACACATATTAATCGAGCAATCGAGGAGATTTCGAAGTCCACAAGTGTGAGGGGAAGAAGGATACAAGTACAGTAAATTTGATCATCAACGCGTTCAGTACTTGTCATACATTAATTCAATACACAATATAACGTATTCTAAAACAAAGAATATAAAACTGTTCTACTCCGGTACAAATGAACAAAATTTTACAACACTTCTTGTGAAGGGTTGTGGCACAAGCCTAAGACTTAAAAACCCAGCCATAAAAACAGTGCAAGTGCGGTTAACAAAAGTTGATAAGAGCTCATTCCCTTTTATCCTCTTCTGAATCGTCTTCTTCATCAAAGGATCCATCATGTCCGACATTCTTCTCTTGCCGGACTAAACTTAGTTCACCTTGACCTTCCTGCTTTCCCTTAGTGAGAGATTGAGCTTCTTCGTCATCAGAATCTTCTCCCACTTCCTCCGAATAAGCATACCTATACAAAGATTGCAGAGGCAAATCAAACATAAGAAGCGAGACTCATCCCTAAGCCATTTGGATCAGATATTATGGCATGAAATTACACGAAAAATTTGTTTCTTCACCACTACAACTAGCCACACAACATTACAGCGACATAAGCATGACATAAATATAAATAAATAATTCTTAATGGATGATGCTAGCAAAAAGTTCAACTGGTAACCAGACGCATCCCATATTCTGCACTTGCAAACCATGATATACCTAAAAATCATCCAACCCAAAGAATAAAAGGCAATCTAACCAGAGGAGCCATAGATTTCAAAAGCTTGTAGGCTAATTGTTGCTGAGATTCATTTGATGAATCACTTTAAAATAGAAATATAACCAATGATAAATATTGGGAAGAAAATGTCATGTTACAACAACAACAAAACTCTTATCCACTAGGTAATACAATTCACCTTTGAGAGCTTTGGGATGGGGCCCAGAGATAGCATATAACACAGAGTAATGCAAATGCCAGAATGTCCCAGAATGCAGTGATGATCCAAGCACTCTGCCAGCGCTCATTGAAAGGATCTGTAGCTTTGAAGTATACCTGTAGAAGAAAAATTAGCAGTGATTGCAACCAAGATAATAAATTGGAAGATGAATGCAATATGACAGTAAATTTCCATGAGAAAACAGCATTTCACAACAATTTATAGTTCAATAGTGATAAGAAATTTCTACAACAAAAATGGATAACATATCGTTAAATGGAAGCCAAACACAATTCAACCCAGGGATATACACCCCTAAAATGAGTGACTTATGGGATCTGCTAAGAACCCACAATGGAAATAATAAAAAAGAATGAGTGATTTATTAATTGACTTGATAAATGAACTAAACCAAGGAGAAAGAATTTTCCTCAAAGGGTCTCTCCTTTCACAACTGAGCACTTGCTCAATTCCCAAATGCCAACAATTCAAAACAATCCCCCTTCCCTACATCCTCCAATTTATTTATCAACTAACCCCCTCTAACTAATCAATTGCTGTAACTGTTACTAACTACCTTGGCTCCCATTCATTCTTCCCAGCAAACACAGTTTTTCCCTTTCCATACTAACAAAATCAGTGTTATCTAAAAGACCTGAGGCATCTACCTCCATGCTGCATTGAGGTGTAGTAGGTTGTCAACCCAATGTCTTGCATTTACCTTTCTTTTTGCATTCAAGAAAAGAGAGGGAAAAAACAACATAGCTTCCACAGTTTGAACCAGTGGGAATGAAATGAAAAGGGATATTTGATTCTATTATGCCCATCTGAAGTTTAGGGAACAGAAGACAAACTGACGCACAAAACCATTCCATCAAGTCTGCAAGAGTAGCCAATTGCCAAGCATGATAGGAGCCAGGGAAAAAGACATGTTCATTTCAGAGGATTAAGAGCTCTTAGCGGTGACATTCAGGGTCAACTGCGTGAGTTTTGTGGTATTTTGGATCCTTACTGTAAGCTACTCTCCATCTGAATTACACTAATACTTTGGAACCTAGTACTTGACTACTTTTGAGCAATAGGAAATATGAAGGGATAGGTCTAGTACCTAAATGCAAAGGTGAGGGGTAGAATATGAAAAGAAAGCTTGGGAAGGGCTAGTAAATTAAAGTCAGGATCAGGAAGTTTTCTTTTTCTTCACTTCTTTTGCAGCAATGCAGTATCCAAACAATGAAATATGAATATCAGTTTTTTTGGATAAAACATTAATTTAAGTTATTCAATACAAGTACATGTTATTTTGTGTAAGATCAAATAAAATTATTATAAGTCATACCTCATATCCTATCCAAGCAACTGAGGAGATCACTGTTACTGCTAACGCATTTGAGAACTTCCTGTATATATCTAACTTAACAGAACTTCGTTTTGCCTGACAATACAAATCCCCCAAACAAAAAAAAAAATAAAAATCAAACACATTGAAAAAACATCATAAACAGAGAAATTCAGATGTAGGGTGCTGCAAAATAAAAGGAATTTGGGGCAAAGATACCTGTAACTGCTCCAGTGTTCTTGACAGAGATGTAAAAATCCATAATATCAAAAATGCATCCAAGAAAGCATCGGGAAGAACTAGAAGGAGCCTTGCCCTTCCCGATACATCATTGATGGTCCCCACATATTCAGTAATATTCAGCAATTCTGATGCCAGAAAGTAAGTTATTCCAAGTAAAAGAACCTTTGATGTAAGACCACCAAGAGTGGGTCGCACAACGCCATAACCCATTGAAACAGAGAGAATAAGAAGTCGTGATATTGATTTTCTTATAGCCCCAACAGTGACAACCCATGTTGTGAGCACAATAGGTCTTATTCCAGTGTTGTTGAAATTGACATACTCAAAATACCAGAGAACCATCTCAAACAATCCAAGAGCAATGACAGCTGTGATACAGTGCTGAAGTTGCAGTACATCATCCCAAAACCTTACGTACTGAAAAAACCAAACGATGCTAAGGCAAACATAAGCCAGTGTCATAAATACATAGAACTTCTTTAATGGTGCCATCCTACCTGGTAAATACCCATCAGGGTTTTTCCATATTGTCTTCCCATTCATTACCATATCCTTGAGCTTGGGGTCACAAGCTACAAAAAACAAATTATACATTCCGGTCTTTGTGATGGAAATTTCCTTAGAATCTAGACTTGCAGTTCTTAGGTATTTCCCTTTGAAACGCACATCTACAATGACTGGCCAATTAATGTCTGTTGCAGAAGGTCTCCTAATAATCTCTCCTTGCTTACAAACTCCCATCTTAGCTAAATCAGGAGTGCAACAGATTGCCCTTTGTCCACCATAAGCAGAACCACCTATATCATTACGATCGGCAGCCTCAAAAATTATTATGTGTACAGGAACAGAACCGAGTTTCTTGGCTGCACCTTTGCTTCTCCTAAAGGTTATATTCTCAAATCTGTGCCCATCCCAAAGCAAAAGTCAGTGTTTTACATTATGTTTGACAGATAATTCAAAGATGATGGAAGAGATATAAATTATTAATTTCATATACAATTTCTAAAATTTCAATGAAAAATACTAAAGACGCGTATATTTTTCATGCTTATTAGTCCCTTGATTCACAAAGATCACAATTCACAACAGTATGCTGAGGAGAGTGATGTTATATCTTCTTGCAAATGTTCCTAACACTTTATAAATAAAATATTAATGTAAAAATAAATACATGTCATGTCTTGGAAACTTAAAAAAACATTCAATACTTTCTTTATCTATTAGGGGAAAAGATTTTGTAGGAAGTATTAGAATTATTCTGAGGAAACTATGAAAAAATTCAGCCCAACTAAGAGTTCATACTTTATATCGGCAGCGTCATTCATAAATGATGCATCTAAGATTCTAAAATTGTCCAGGCTCTAGAGCTTAGCTCTCAATTTAGCTCTAGTCTATCAATTGGTGCATTTCTAAAGAGAAATATGATCAATTAGTGTAGTTTCTAACAGATAAATATGCTCAATTAATGTGGTTTCTCTGCCTATAATACGTAATCCATTGAGTCCATATTTTCCTTGACAGAAATTCACGAATCAACCTATATCAGGCCTAAGTAACCCTCGGATTTCCATTTTAATTCTCTCATGCTACCAAATTGAGTAAAAATCTAGCAATGTAAAGAGTTTTGACATAAATCGAACACTCTCGCAGCTCGAATGGCGAGAGAGAAAATGAGAGATTACCGTATGTATGAAGGAGTGGGAGCGGCGGATGCAGCGACGATGCCTTCGCTGCCGCCGGCGAGGAGGTAGGCATTGCCGACTTCTCTGAAAGGTTCATGATCGTATACGTGGATGGATGCAAAGGATGTGAGTGCGAAAGAAGATAATAATGATATGTAGATGAGGAGTGAAGGTGCGAAGGACATGGATCTCGATCTTGCTCTGGCAAATGCTGAATCCATGCCGAGACACACTCTCACTCTCACTCTCAGTCTCTCAGATTGGATCGCCGAAATGGATGCGGTGAGAGAACAAGGAGAGATGTCACTGCCAAATCGTTGCAACGTCACTCTCCTTGCAAGGGATGGGACTCAGGCGCTTGCTTCACGCGCGCTTCAACCACGTCATCATCTTTTGCACCATTTTTTTTTTTGGAATGTTATGATAATTATAATTACACACCGCCATTCTTTTATGTATAGGTAAAATGAAGAGAAATAAATAATAATAATATATATAAAAATAAAAATAAAAAGATATTTTGATTTTGGTGTCATCCTCAACATGAGCATTAGTCAACGTGAATGACTTGAGGTTAATTTTGACCTTTTCGAATGTGAATTTAGAGTTAATGTGTTTTGAAGATGGGTTGGAATTATGCCTAGACCCTCTTAATCCGGTTTAATGTCCTATATTCTCTTTAAAGTATAATTTGATTTAACAACTGTGTTTTAACAATAAAATCATTAATTTAATAGATAATATTTTTTTATAATATGTTATATTTATGATTATATTGTTTATTTTAAAATATAGATCATACAATACATTATTTTTATTTTTATACATAAGATTTAATTATTTAATTCATTAAAATTAAAAAAATAATTAATTTCATTGATAATAATAAATTTATCTTATATATATTAATGTTTTTTAAAATTATCCTTATATTATTATTTTTTTAATTAATACGCATATAAATTTTGACTAATTAGAATACATATATTATATTATTTATTTTTACTAATTAATATTTATTTTTATTTTAAATTAATTAAAGTGTGTGTTATTTAAATAAATTATAATTAATATATTTTATCAAATAAAAATAACACATTTTAATTATAAGTATTTTAGTTTAAAAATAATTAAAATGTGAAACAATATGAATGGAGTATTATATAAAGGGAAATGTTCTAATTTAAATCTTATAAATAGGAAATGAGGTAGTAATTTAAATTTTAAGTTTTATACTCCTTTTATTATACTATTTAATCATACATAATATTTATATTGATATATTACATTAAAAAGTCATGTTGACTCGACTTTCACCGAAGTTTCTATATGTAATTTGGGCTTAATCCTCCTCAATATTAAAAAAAATAAAAAATAAAGTCAAGTAATAAGGAGAATCTCAATTTGTCATTTGCTCACACCCTACTTGACATTATTTTATTATTGAGAGGTAGTAAAATGAATACCTATTTTGTCCTACATTGTCCCTAATCTAGAAAAAAATGGGTTTGAAGCGGGTTCATCTACTTGCCCAAAAGTGAGTTGAAGGTTTTGACCCATTTGGATGGAGTCTAGATTATTTTTATATTATTTTTAATAATAAATTAAAAAACTAATACAATATAAAATTAAATTAAATTTCGAAGTAAAATATTTTAAATCACATTACTTCAAACAAAATGATGGTATAAATTAGATCTTGACCCACCCTGACGAAGTCTGCAATAAATTGGTTTGCATTTTTTATAAGATTAAATACATTATTTTGTGTATAGTACGCTATTGTTTATTTAGAAGGAATTATTATATACATATTTCATTTTAAAACATGTATACAAACACAACATCTGTATGATAAGAGGCTATTATATAATTATATATCAACAATCTATATCTGCACATTGCCACAGTCCACACCAAACACATATAACAGTTGTTGGTCCATACCCCATATATATACGAGTATTAATTATTCTGATAATTCATAATCATATAATGCACCTAAAGGACATCTTACTTTGCTCTAATGCAAGCTAAGACGATCAAATATTAATTCTACACGTCCAATGTGTGAACACATCAGAAATGAAAACCTCAATATCAGGTCAGATTCATAGACTCATAGACGAATCTCATTGCGCTTGGTTATCTATTGAGGAGCATTCTGCAGAAGCAGCATCTGTCACAAGAAGCATGGCTCCAAGTCCTATCTCATTACTGGGTATGAAGTTGTTCACGTTATCCACCAATAAACTCTCTTCTGGAGGTGACTCATTTGATTTCCTTTGACATTCATACAATCTCAGAAGTTGCTTCTGAAACTTCTCCATTGGTGACATCTGTCTGTACTCCACCGGTGATCGTTTCCTTGAAGGGACTTTTTCCCCAAAGTCTGATCAATTTATCCCACCCAAACAAATTAAAGTTTTTAATTATACAAACTCATAGTGAGAGTGTCAAGATTAACAACGCTTCATGCAAAATATTTTCTACCCATATCATATAAAAACTCATAGTGAGAGTAAACTGTTCTGATTCTTATATTCTGAACACATTGTAAAAACTAAAGAATGATCGAATACATGAAAAACTCTAACAAAGAGAAAATATATAATAAACACGTACACGTGCGTGACCTCCTTATTACTATCCATTAATAAATATTATTGATTATAGTCTATGGTTATAGCGTATAAATTATTTATCTAAATTCGAGACTAATCTTTTTTTTTTTAATCAAGTAGTGTTGCATGCATGTGGAATCGTAGAAGACAATCCGTTATACCTTGTACTGATATGTGATGGAAATCTGGGCTTGAATTGTTGCTGTTTTCATCATCATGATCAGTTGGTGGAACATTGTTTGAAAGTTCGTTCTCAACATTGACATGGCTTCCATCTGCATGAACATTTTTTAAATTCTTGAGGAGTGGCTGAAATTGGACATTCTTGGGGAGATAATTGTCTAGGTGTCCTTTCAACTTGTATCGTGATCCACAAGCATTACACAAAGTCGGTTTCTCAGCTGGTCCATTACGCCAAAGTGGAGTAGCTATTCAAATTATGTTAACGAGGGGTGTCCATGTAAGAAGAATTAGGAAAAAATAGATCCTCAATTGCCCAGGCTAAGAGCTTCTAAATTCTAAAACATAAAAACATTAACTGTATAAAGTGTTATTATATAATTATTTAAATTTAATTATAAATCATAATTTATAATTGATTGATGATGAGTGCATGCATACTATTAAACTCATAAATTAAATACAGATATTTAAAATTAGACAAAATTGGACATTACTAATTCAAATAAAAATAAATAAAATATAAATAACTTAAAATTAAAGTAAATAAATTTTTAAAATAGAAAATACTTTAAGACTGTAAATTATTGAGATTTGAACAAAAGAGAAAAATTAATATATAAAATTAAAAAAAAAAATCTGACATTTAGAAAGATCTCAAAACAAAATAAAACTTTGAAAATAATTAATAAATTAATTAATATATATATATATATAAAGAAAGATAAGGAATACTATGATAAATGATAATAGTATTCTGGAAAATATTAAATTACATATATATGATAGAGATTTGACCATTTTTCATATTTTTAATTCAATTTATTTTTTATTTAAAAAGTACATATTATGTTTATTGACATTCTAAAATATTTGTACACTGTCATTTAATTATAAACTATCATATATATATATATATATATATAATATTAATTTGTTGATTTTTGTAATAATTATTTCAAGATTATATGAATCATTATTCTTTATTGATTGTATAAATTTTACATTATTAATGTATAGAAATTAAATTTTTAATAATTTAAGAGACTCATCACATGACTTTTAATTCAAATAACAACAAAACAGAAAATACACATCACATGATTTTGCTTTAAGAGTAAGCAAAGAGAGAAAAATAAATTGACCAAATTCAACTAAGTTTATTAAAATTCAAGATGGTAGTAATTAGTCTAGTCAAAGCCGCGAAAATTACTTGTTTATACTATTTAATAGTAACGATCTAACTTATTCAAACAAAAAAATATAAGAGAAACTGGGTCTTAATTTGTTGATCATTTTTCTTTTAAGTTATAACGTATAAATGATATTGACTAATCGTATTATTTATGGAAAGAATATTAATTAATAATATTTTTATGTACCCCTTACATTAAAATATTAATGATAAATTTATTTTTCTTAAATTGACCCTCACAGTTCTAAGCTATTTGATATATTTGCCTTTCTTTAGAAATAACTTATTTGCCTAAAATTACCAACAACAAAAAAATATTTCCCTAATATTTTTTTTATTATATCATAAGATTCTGATTTTCTTTGTAAAATGCAAAATACATTTATGTGGAATAAATTCAAATTTTCATTTTGTAACATTTTTATTAATATTTTTTTATAAATATAGTTTTAAGATCTTTAAGATGAAATACTCACTTCTAGTATTTAATATCATTTTTATCTTTTATGAAGCAATGCATTGAGTCGAATCACTCGATTTTAATCTGAGAAAAGACTTGCAAATTATATACACCTAATATAATATTAATTCTCCTTTTTTTTTTCTATCTCTCTTCTTATACTGTATCTACATTTCTCTTTCTTGTATGACTATTTCTCTAGGTGGCTAGTAGCATGTTAGTGTTATACACAATTTACTTATTGAAAAAATGTTTTTGAAATAAGAAATGAAATAAAATCTAACAAAAATTTCTCTAACAACCACAAAAAGAGAGAACTTACAACTAATTCCACAATGCAAACATGGTCCTTTCTTCGCCATGAGAGAATGCTTCTTCGCCCACTAAACAACTAATTGGAAGAAATATTTTTTTAGTAGATAATCATCTTCATAACACAAAAATTAAAAATGGTTAATCAATAATAATAAAAATATATATGATAGAATAGAATGTCAACGATTGATAATTGGGATGGAGAAAGTAACATTTAAGCTAATTTTTACAATTACATTAATACATAAAATTTCAACACAAAAACAATCATACCACTGTATTTGTTTTTGCAATGCTTTTTCGTTTTAGTAGCACAACTTTCTTACTCTTTTTCTTTATATGCCTCTTTCTCTCTCTAAATATTAATTTGTATTAAATTGCTACGTGGTTGTATATTTATTTTTCGAAAAAAGACAGAATCCAACGAGCTACCTTATTTGGAATGTATTTCAATATTATGTGAATTTTGGTAATTAGCAAACTTTTTAGTGTTGAAAAAAAAAATCAATAATTAATTGAGGTTGTCAAAACAAACACAAACGAATTATAGATTAAACAACCTTAAAAAATATAGTTAAAAAGTAGGAATGGGTTTTGTTTTTGTGAAATCTGACTAATAAGCAAGTGGCTATTACTTTCATTTAAACAAAAATAAAAGTAAAAAAGAAAGATTTTTCATTTAAAAACAGTCACACTAACGTGTGTGACATTACAAAAATTCTTCCACACCTCAACATTATTGTAAAACCAAATACACGTGAACCACATAAATCCTTAGCTTGATAGTTTTTTTTTTTTTTTGAATAAACGAGACTAAAAATACGAATCATCTTGATAGAGGGAGATATAAATTTGAATTAGCATTACATTGTATGAATTTAAATTAATTCAAATTTATAAACAAGGTTTAGCACAATCATTTGATAGTTAGGTTTTTTAAGCATATTGGAAGGGTTTGATTCCAACCATATAAATAAAAAAGACTTTATTAGAAAAGATAAAACCGCATGTTGTTTGTTGGTCTTTATGCTTCGAAATAAATTAGCTAAACTTTAATTATCTGTCGGAAATAATAATTCAAAATTTATAATTACATTGATTTGTCACATAGTTGCATTTGACTAATTAGATGACTCAAACCATAAAGATAAATTTATATATGCTATTTTAAATTATTATGCCTTTTGTGATGCTAAACGGATAGAGATGTCAAAACAAACCGATATTATCTTATTACTATAGAGGTAATTGCTAAATGTACACGTTCCTTCTTTACAGCTGAATGTGAATGTAATGGGCTTAACATGTAACACATAAGGCCTATAATAGGTGTGGCCTCACGGACTAAATGGGTCTGTGATAATATTTAATGAAATAAAGTTACATTTTCACTACTAGTTATAATTTTTTGCTATTGGTCAACACTATCTAACTATTGTTATTACAATTAGTAACATGGGAGCTTATTTGAATTTATGAGTTTCACTCCCAATGATTATATGTGTTTAGCATCTAGCTCATGAAGTTAGATGTGATAATATCATTGTTCGATCTCTTTACTCATGTTTTTAGAGATTATAAAATTATTAGAGCAAACTTATTATTGAAAGAAGTTGAAATAGAGTATATCGAGTTTTAAATTTAAGTATTAATGTCATTTTAATTTTGATAAATAAGAAAGAGAAATTATAATTCATATAATATAATATTAAATGTCAATTAATGGATAATATTTATTTATATTATTTTATTATTTTAAAAAAAGTAAAATAAAAATAATATAATTATAAATAAATATCTAGGACCAACCAATCTAGAGTCTATCGGGTTGAACCATTTTTAACATCTCTAATTGAAGTCCGTATCCGGCCCGTGAAGCCCGCGGATAAACGGATAAGTCCGCGGGCCCAATTAAATCTAAATTGTTTAAATGAATATTGACTCAGATTTTAAATTTCTTTTCCTTTATTTAACCTATGAAAACATGAGGAAAAAAAAACATATAAAATGATATAAATATACTTCTAATAATAACATCAAACATTGTAAATAATAAATCAAAGTCTTAAATAAAAAAATTTACACATTCTAAATTTCTAATAGAAATATTTAAGTCTCAATGCCTTTAAAATTTAAAGTCCAAGCATACCAACTATTAACCAAATATTAAAGTCTTATTACCTTAAAACTTTAAAAGTCTTAATACACAATCAAACAAATATAAAACATTTGTAAGTCCAAGTACATCAAAGTCTAAATACCTTAAAACATCAAAGTCTTAATTAATATCTTAAAAACAAACATAAAATATTTGTAAGTCAACATTTAAACGGGTAATCCGCGGGCTCGCCGATTAAATCCGCAAAATTCGCGGACTTAACGGGCCGGACCTAAAAAGTCCGTATGATTATATGGATTAAAAAACATGGGCCTGTTATCCGTGAAGTCCGCGGACCTACGGACCGGTCCACGGACTCAAGTCCATATACCCACCCCTACTAATTGATACACTATTTCACTTTTGTTTACAAAACCACATGCAACTCCTTTCCCTCCTTTGGTTGGCAACATCTCCATTGAATATATATATATATATCAATCCTCATCTTATAAATTATTTTATAAAAATTTAAGTCTAAAACCTACATTCTTATGATGGAACTGAGAATATTTGTTTTCATGTTTATTTGATTAGTTATTTCATAAAATAACATACTCATTATTTTATGAAAATGATTTTTACTTATGTTTTTTTACAAAATTATTCTCACACAAAAGATGGAGATTTAACTTTTCCATGCAATGAAAAAAGTTTTAAAAAACATCATGATTTCCTTATTATCTCATTTAGTACAATTTATATAAATTTTATGGTAAAAGTCTATTGAAATTTCATGAGTTTGAAAATATAAATTATATTATAATTAAAAATTATATTGTAATATAAACTATTTATCATAAATTAAAAATATATTTTATATAAAAAAATATTTATTATAAATTTTAATTATATAAAATAAATATTTAATATTTAGAGAAAGGCTTTAAGATCCTTATAACTAAAATTTATTAAAAAAAAGTATTTTTGAACATGTACATTACATTTAAAATTTATGATGGATATTTATATTGAAATACAAAATCATTTTTAATCATTGATAATCTTTTTTAAAAAAAATAATGAAATATAATTTAAAACTAAAAATGAAAAAATAGATAAAACAGATAAAATATTGAAAAAAAAGTCCTAAATGTTGTTATGTTGAAAAAAAATAAGTTAAAATTATTTTATTATATATATGATACAAAATGTATAGCGACAATTATTTAATGAAAATAATTTAATTATCGTCATATATAAAAATATTAATAGCTAATATATATAATAACCACTAAAAATGTATTTATATTACACTAAAGTTTACTATTAGCGACAATTATTTATTAAAAAAAACTTAAGCCCCACATCAATTAGAGATAAGATAATTAAATAGTATATAAGTGAGTAATAACTATCACCTTACAAATTCATTTTATAGGGTTGACTCCTAATTCACTATTCTAAATTAGTATCAAATCATCCATTATTACCAAGTTCAATAGTACTATAAAATAATAAGAGAACAACTTTTACCTTATAAATCTTACATCTCTTAAGAGACAAGAAAATTAAAAAAATATTAAAAAATATATAAATAAAAGACAACCCTCATCTTACAAATTTCACATCGAGTAGAGATAAAAAAAATATATAAGTTATGAATTTAGAAAAGAAAATTATAGGATTAAATTATTTAAAGTAAAGGAGTTAATTAAAAAAATAATTTTTAATAGCCTTTAAAATGGCCACTAAAAAAAATAAGTTTTTTTTTCAACAATTTAGTAGATCTTTACCAGTATTTTATATAAATGCCGGTAATAGTATTAGCGATACTGGATACACCAGTCATTATTTAAATGTTAGTATAAAAAATAATAGTCATTTATATGGCCGCTAAATAATAAATTAATTGTCAAAAATACTAATTTTGATGTAGTGCAAAAAAAAATCATAAACGTTAATAAATTACTTGACAAAAACGGTAATCTATTTAATTATAGTCAATAAATAAAAAAAGATAATAACCGATCTCAAAATTAAAAATATAACTTTACTCCCATTGACCTTCAAGTATATGCATCGATCAACAATGTTTTCCTTAAATCCAAAGCAAACAATGGTATCATTAAACTTCAAATACCACTGGCGTGAAACTTGTTTAAGTTCATATATTGATTTCTTTAATTTGCACACCATGTGTTCCTTTCCCTCAAACGAGAATCTCATTGGTTGGTCCATGTAAACATCCTCCTTTAAATTTCCATTTAGAAAGTTAGTTTTCACATCTATTTGATATAGCTCCAAGTCATAATAGGCTACTAGTGTCATTTTTGGGAGATGGGTAAAAAAGTCTCTCTGTAATCAATTTCATTCTTTTAAGTAAAATCTTTAGTAACAAGTCTAGCCTTGTATTATTCAAGGTTTCCATCAGAATCACATTTATTCTTAAAGACCCACTTACAACCAACTCTCTTACAACCAACTCTCTTACAACCTTTTGACAATTTTACAAAGTCCCAAACATCATTTACCCCTTTGAGACTAAACAAGCCTATCATAGGGTCCTCTTTGTTGACCTCCCCTCCTAGATCCGGATGATCCCTCCTGAACTCTAGCAGCCTTACCGCTGCTACCACCACCCTCCAATCTCTCAACAGTCTTTGCCTTCTCAACCAAGGCAAGAAACTCCACTATGGACATAGGGACTATGACCCTCTTCAGCTCATGCCTCAATCTCTCTACAAACTTCCTACATCTCCAAGCCTCAGATACGGCCTGAGAGTAGAAACGAGCCAGATGCTCAAACCTCATAGCATACTCTGAAACAAACATGCTCCCCTACTGCAGTCTCATGAACTCTACCTCCTTAGAGTATCTAACGCTATCTGGAAAATACTTCTCCAAAAAGACCCCCTGAAGCAATCCCAATCAACAGGTACACTCCTTCTCTCTAACATCTGTTTGGTGCATCTCCACCAATACTCAGCCTCACCCACCAGTATACATACTACATAGGCCAACAGATCGTTCAGTACGTTGTGTAGGACCTGTCGGGTCGTTACATATAGAAATGAGAATGAGTATATAAAATAGATCGGTGTTTGTGGGAATTATATATTACTCCCTCCATAGTGGTAATAAGGTTAGGTTGAAACCTCTTTTCTCATTTATATTATCACCACAATTCTTATTATTTGGCTATGTCTCACTCTTCTCTCTTAATTTCTTAAATACCTTCCACCTAATTAATTAATACGTACGAGTTATGTTCTCCAAAGAGAAAGTAAATTAATCTTATTATTGTATACTAACATTTATTGTAAATTAATTAAGGATAGTTTAGTCAAAAAAATATTAATGCAATAAATAATCTTAAATATGGTGTATATATACTAAAAATATTTACCATTATTTATTGAGAATATAGTCATAAAGCCATTTATATATTAAAAATGTTTATTTATTCTAATTATAGTTATAATTATATAAAATAAATAAGGATAAAATATCTTTTTAATTTTTATAATTTCACTCACTTCACCTTTTGAAATTTATAGTTTAAAATAAATATTTTAATTTTTATATTTATCTTTTTAATCCCTTTAATTCTCTATCGTATAGTGGTATGTGACACCATTTATTTTATGTTGATGTGATTGAAGTTTTCAATTTTATATTTTTTATGTGAAATTTATTTTGTTAGAATTATTTCAAACCGGGTCTCTTAATGAGTGATAACTATACTTGTTTTTTTTTATCTTTATTTATGACACTCATTGATTAATTGGTCATTGTCTAATTTTTTTGAGAATGACATTATCTTAATTAATTAACACGAGTTTAAATCAATTTTATTTAAAGAATGAGGTGTCCTAATTATAGACACCAATTATGCACAAATTAAAGGTAATGACTTAAAGAGATGAATAAAAAGTAAGTACATGAACTAAAAAATTTCATTTTAAACTACAAGGACAAAAATGTAAAGTGAGTAAAATTACATGCATTACAAATATATTTTAGTAGATAATAATCAACCCTTTTATAATTAAGCCTGTTGACCTAACAGTCCCAAGTTTGATTCAAACTATTAAATTGTATTAGAGTATTTTTAGGATTTTTTTTCAATGAAAAAGTTTATAAGAATTCTTTTAACTTCATATTAAATTATATTTTAATTTATCATAATTATTTATTAATTAAATATTTATATTTTAAAATAAATCACCAATAAATATTTTCTCTGTTATAATCAATCAATTTCTATAAACTTTTATATAACAAACACAAACTTTTATTTTGTACAAGTGTGTTTTTAATGTTTTTTTTAATAAAAAATATAATATTCTCCGTAGCTAAAATTTACGATAAAAGTTGTTTTTGGAAGGATAATTTTTATTTTGATAATTTAAAAGGAACTAGTATCTAATTATTGATTAGAAAATATTTTTGATATAAATAAAATAAATTATAATAAATAAATATTTTTAAACATATCAACTAATATCTTAACGTTTTACAGTAAAAAAATTATATATTTTTTGAAATTTAATTTAAAATTTTGAATTTGATTTTAAAAACGGAAGATAAACAGAATAGATTAAAAATGATATAATTTTTTTAAAAAAATTCTAAAATCATTTTCAATCATCAAAAAAAATAATTTTTTTTATATTTAGGAAAAATTATATTGTCCTCCTTTAAAATCTTTTAAAATGAAAGACATACATTTATTTTCTATCTTATGCTATGTTTGGATGAGAAATTTAAAAAATTTAAAATTTAAATTATTTTGATTTCAACTTATTATTTTAAAAATATTTTGTTTGGATAAATTTTTTAAAATTTAAATTCTTACTTTTAAATATGATAATTTAATTTTTATCATAGGTAAAATTGACTTTATATATATTGTTCATTGTTTAAAATATTTAATACTTTTAAAAATTAATATTAGATAATATTTAATAATTTAAAAATATTATTAAATATTTAATAATTACAAGATATGAGAGAGATAAAGATATATAGGTGAGATAAGAAAGAAAAAATATGAAGAACTTCAAATTTTATTTTTTGGAGAATTTGAAATTTTACTATCTTAAGAAATTTTACAAATACTTGAATTTCAAACTTTTTGTAAATTTTGTATTTAAATAAAATATTTCGCTCGACAGAATTTGAAATTTTTTAAAATAAAAGAAATTACTCAATTTAAGTTCTTTATCTAAATCCTAAACATTAACCTCTAACCCCAAGCGTGTGGTTCAGCGGTAGGGGTTGATCCACGCTTAAGCAAGGTCAGAGGTTCAAATCCTGCCTTGTGTATGCAGCCACGTTAAATCTTGGGGCCAGCTATCCCACCCTTTCAGGTGCTCCCAACGTAGCGCAGCCACGTTAAATCTTCCTTTCAGGTGCTCCCAACGTAGCGCAGCCACGTTAAATCTTGGGGTCAGCTATCCCACCCTTTGAGGTGCTCCCAACGTAGCGAGGAGATTAGTCACTGCTGTCAGCCCTGGATACTCCAGGGACGAACCAAAAAAGAAAAAACATTAACCTCTCTTATTTATTTATCTAAGTGACACATATAAGATAACATCATTTGTACATTACTAAGAGAGTACAAGTTATTAATGTAAATGTTAACAATTGAATTATATTTAATCTTTTTACTTAGTTTTAACTTTTAAATTATATCTTAAATATCATGTATATTGTGATTTAAAAAATATACTAACTTGAATGAATAATTTCAAATGATGATTGAAAATTTATTATTTTTAAAATTGAAAAACATCGAATTTTATTTTAAAAAATAAAACATATAAATAATTCAGAATGGAAAGATAAATATGAATTGATTATTATTATTTTTTCTTCTCATTTTAATTAATAATATTATTTTAAAAGAGATAAGTAATTTTGAAAACTAAAAAGGAGATATAACTGGTTTAAACAGATTTGAGGGAGAGGAGGAGAGTTTTCTCTTATATATATTATAGTTTATTTGCAGGGAAGATATACTTAGGTAGACGCTCACTCTCCGAACTGCGCGTGTATTCTGAGTGCTCCTTTTCACTGTGTGTGTCCTGTGATACACATTGGACCATCAGCATATCGTAATCACTGCTGCTACTGCATTCAACACTTTCTCTTTCCAATTCCATGCATTTTGTTTTTGTTTCTTTTTAAATCCTTTTTCGCATGCAAAACTCTTCATCAACAATCGCCTTAGTCATAATTCGCTTGCGTTATTGCTATACTCTTATAGGTAGTTATATTATAATTATAGATAAACGCCTTTGTTCCTCTGTTGCATTTGATTTCTACGTTCGCCCGCGTTGCTCCTTCTGTCCAATTCTTTTATATTTATTGCTTGTACTCTTTTCATGAATTTATAATGTACCTGGAATTTGCTCTTTCCCAGGTAACTCTGTTCCTCGATTGTTTCCTTATTGGGGTGAAAAAAGAGGAACAGACCGATTGTATGCGTAGTTAATTAACCAGATGAGGAAAAAAATGAATTTTTTGTCCCTTATGTAATGAGAAATTGATTGTTAATGAAAAAAGTCCAGTTTTTTTGGTGGAATTGTTTCTGGGGTGCATGACTTTGTCTCTTGAGTTGACTGTGTGTGCTATTTCCATCACAGTATCGCATGGTCTCTGGAATTACATTCAATATTAGTTGTTGGAAAGGTTTTCCGTTTTCAATATCATTGAATGGATCCAATGTTTTGGCTCCCTGTTTATGAATTTGACAATTTAGTTTCATTGACATGAATTAGAAATTTTGTACTGTTTCTTTGGAACTTCTTATTGGTGAACTGACCCCGTGATAGGATCTTATCATATTGTTACGAACTGTTATGATCCTATCAGGCTTCTGTTCCTTAATTCCTTATTTTAAATCTGTCATAGCTAACAATAATAGCTGTTGTGTTTAGTTAGGTGTGTTTATTCTAAATTCTTGTTATAGCTGTTTCCCTCATTTAGCTAAACTTTATTTCCTCTCTGCTGGCTCAATAGCTGTAAATATTTGAACACATTCCATATGGTAGCTAGAAATAAAATACACCTTTATGTTACTTTCTATACTTCTGATGATAGATGTATTTTATTGTATTTTTAATTAAGCCATCCATCTCTTTGTTAACTGTTTTCCTGAGGCTACATTGTTGAGACCTATGGAAGCTGTTTTGTTTGCACGAGGTGATTAATACTTATTCTTTGAAATTACAGTATCACGGACACAGATAGGTGGTGAAAATTGACTCATGGCTGATAATGGTGCTGATCAATTTCCCGAGTTAGGAAGTGTGTATAGAGTGTCTGGTGTCAAAAACAGTCAGTTGAGCCGGAATGTAGCCAAAGGCAAACTGAATTCTCAGGAAACTGGTGACTCTGGGGTGAACTCAAGGCACTTAGAGAGCAATTCTGATGGCAGTGCTCTGAGACCCTGGTATTCTCAAAGTTCTAGACCAAATGTATGGGAAGATCAAAATGTGCTTCAGAAGCTGAAGCTGGCAAAGTGGGGTAATGGTGGATCAACAGTGGCTGAGAGCAATAACCTACTAGACAAAAGCAATTCTCCAGATGTTCTGAATGACAGCAAGTTGCCTCCTCAGTCAACAATGTCTCCAACATTAGAGAAAGGATTATCTGTTGAAGTTGATACGACCACATCCAAGGATTGCGAAAATGATCAATGCAAGGATGACACAATTCCTGAACCACATTGTGAAGACAACAATGATGAGATTGCTGACAGTGAATCCGATATTGTTTTTGATAGTGATGATGATTGTTCTTTAGATGACACTGACTCTGATACTGGAGAGAAAAGCCATGAAGGGTGCAAGAAGAGCAAGTGGCTTAGGAAATTTTTTGATAAATTAAATGCACTGCCTCACGAGGAGATGACTTCACTAGAAAAGCAGTGGCATTGCCCAGCATGCCAAGGTGGCCCTGGTGCTATTGATTGGTACAAAGGGCTGCAGCCCCTTTTGGATCATTCTAGAACAATACAAACAAGGAGGGCAAGACTGCACCGGATGTTTGCTGAAACTTTGGAGGAAGAGTGCTTAAGGAGAGGATCTCCATTAACAAAGGTTTGTGAAGCCCATGATAGATGGGAGGGTCTTGATGACAAAGTCAAGGATCATGAAATAGTTTGGCCCCCAATGGTTATCATCACGAATACAAGATTTGAGCAGGATGAAAACAACAAGGTAAAATCATATATGAGCTGAAGTGCATGTTAATATGTGTGCGTGGTAAATCAAGTATACAGCTACTTGCTGAATTTTATTTAGTCTTTTATGTTATATGCATATGTGGTTTCACCTCCTTGAATTCATTGTAGTGGAATGGAATGGGGAACCAAGAGCTCCTTGATTGCTTCAGGAGTTATGCCGCTTTAAAGGCTCGAAACTCGTATGGTCCACAAGGGCACCGAGGGATGAGTGTTTTAATTTTTGATGCAACAACGGCAGGTTATTTAGAAGCTGTGCGGCTCCACAAGCATTTTAAAGAGCAAGGAAGAGATAGGGAAGCATGGAATGGCTGTAAGAATCCATTTCTCCAGGGTGGAAAGCGCCAGCTTTATGGTTACTTGGCTTCTAAAGAAGATTTGGATATTTTCAACAGGCATTCTGGAGGTCTTTTTTTTTTTTTCCCTCTCTTAATCAGTTTTTTTTATTTATTGTCTGTCACCCTTGTATGGTTCATACTTGGTTGAAATAATTGATGATGGACTTGAAGAAGACAACTATTTCTTATATAGTTTGCTAGTCTAATAATTCTTTGATGGTATTCTTTTCTGTCTTTCAAGAGAGGGAACTAGTGTTGTTTTTTATATTTTTTTTTTCTGGAAATTGTTTTTCTTCTTCCAATTCCATTTAGTATTTGAAATGGATGTTGCTGATACTTGTATATTTTTAGGAAAGCCAAGTCTGAAGTTTCAAATGAGGTCGTATCAAGAGATGGTTGAGGGCAAGATAAAACGTATAAATGAGGATAGTCGGAAGCTTGACTATTTTAAGAGCATCATAGACAAAGAACAAATCAAATCACAACTCTCTGCTGACTCTGTTTGTAAATTAAGTGAGAAGTTAAGCCCAACAAATAAAGAAAACTGTGTTGATCAACAGAAAAAGGAGGTAAGATTACGAGACTGAAATGAATGTTATTCTTGTGGTGCTCTTTGGGGTTTGTAAGAGCTCTGATTATTACTAGCATATAATTAAGAACCTGTATGCATATAATTTGTTATAAGCTTTCATATTTTGAGAGTAATCATTTATGCTGGTGAATGATGGTTGCCATTATGAAAATATGATATCTACGGAAAACCAATTGTAAATTTTGGAGCATTTCAAAAGGCACCTATCCCAAATTGCTTGGTTTAGCATTCCTTCTATTGTATGGACAAGTTTAAATAAACTTCTTTATAAACATTTATAAATATTAATATAAAAAGAAAATAAAAAAGTATTTTTTATAAATTAAAATTAATTTATACAAGTTAATTTTATGAATTTTAAATTTGTCATGCCCGATTCTTAATTATAGTAGTTTTGTGAAGATGCTGAAATTCTCTTTACGGCTAATCTTTTAATATACTATTTTCTAGATGGACGACGGAGAAGAAAAACATTTTCAGGAGCAAATTGAAGTTATTAAACAAGATATAGCTGCAAAGGAAGAAAAGTTTGTGAAATTGCATGAAGAAATGCAAGATAAAGTAATAGAGTTTGCTTGTGAAGAATCTTCTAAGAAAGAGAAGTATATCTAATATTTCCTTATATACATTATTATTATTTTTTTTTATTACAACTTTCTGGTTGCTTGTGAATGACTTTTGACTTTTTCTAATATATTTTGTATCAACAGGGTGGTGGAGAAAATCTCTGATTTCTTTAAGGCACAAGAGAAGGTCATAGATCAATTCAAAGTAGAGAGAGCTGAAATAAGAAGAATTCACTTTGAAAAACAGTTGGCTCTTAAGAGAAAACAGCGACAGCAACTTCTTGAACTTGAGAAGGAGATGAAGAATGAACTAAACCAACTCATGGACAAGTACATTCCCAGGCAGTTTGAAGAAAGAAATGGTGACTAGATAACATCCATCCATCCAATGACTTATATGTTATATGTTCTTTTGCTACATTTTTCCTGATTTTTTTTTGGGTTTATTTTAAAAGTTAAAAAGAGAGAAATTGTCCCCGTTTTGGTCTAATTTTTGTTATAGTGCATGTTTGCATTCCATTTGTAACGTGAAAATTCACGTTTACTTGAATCAAAAAAATTTTGCTTCTAGGTAAATATAACATTAGACGTGGAAAGAGAATGCATAATCCGCGTTTCAAAATGAAATTCAAACATGCACATAGTGGTACTTAGATGTAACTCTTGCTTACACTTTTAGGTACTTTGCGTTATTTGAAACTAAATTTAGCACGGTGGTAAATACATTTATTTTTATAATATTTAAAAAATATCATTGTTGTACTATTTTGCTACTATTTTAGATTTTATAATATTATGTTATTTTCATAGTATTTTTTAAAAAATAATTATAAAATTAGTTTTTTTTAATATATTTTATTAGTATTTTTTATATTTATCAACATTATTGTTGTTTTTATTACTTGACATTTGTTTAAAGATTATAGTATTAAGTTTTCAAAAACAAATAAATTATAATATCATAACACGCGCGTATATAATTAATGTATTTTAAGTTTTAGTTCAAATAATTTGGCTGTATGTTTTTTTTGTCAATTTATGAGAAATTTGTATCACACACACGCGTATATAATTAATGTATTTTAAGTTTTTGTTCAAATAATTTAGCTGTATGTTTTTCTTGTCAATTTATGAGAAATTTGTATCTTTAAGTTATATCAATCATTATTTATTATAATAATAATTTTTTTCGGTGACTTGTCTATTTTTTTATTATATTTATTTTATTTTTTTATAATATTATTTTTCTACTATTTTAAACTTTAGACAACTATATTATTACCGTACTAATGTTTTTCATTTTTTTTAAGATTATAGTATTAGTTTTCTATTATTTTTTTTATATTTTGTTATTATTTTTATGCTATTTTACTTTATAATGATTTTTTTCATGATTTATAATAATTATAGCAGTAATTTATTATTGTTTTTATTTGTATATTTTAGTAATATTGTTTATACTATTTCTTCATTATTTTAATTTTATAATAATTATTTTTTCATGATTTATAATAATTATAGTATCAGCTTTTTTAAATTTTATTTATATTGTTAAAATTATTTTTAATATAATAATAATAATAATTTATATGATTATTTATAACTACGTCAGCTTCGAAATTGGCTTTGTCGTGCCTGTTTTCGGTATTTTTCATTTTTAATAAATAAAATTATAAGTTGACAAATGTATAACTAATTATTGTGATTGAGAAGTTATTTTCTTTATAACTATTGTGATTCATGGGTGATTTATAAAATTTATTGGAATATAAAATAGAAAAAATGTTTACATCAAATTAAATTATTTATAAGATTGAATTATATTTATTTATATTAAATTAACTTAATAGTTATATGTGCGTCAATAACATAAAATAAATAAACATAATAAATTTAAATTATAAAAATAAGAGGTAAAGAGATAATAACTCTACACTACACATAATTGAAAAGTTGTGGTTTGTTGTTAAATGAATTTTATGGAAGAGTATAACTTGAAGGTGTTTTTGAATACTACAATGGAAGAGTTAATCGAAGTTATACAGATTTTGTCATGGCAGTGGGGGACAAGAAATGAAAAACTACTGTTAGTTTCGTATGAGCCACTGGCATGTGCTGCAATGTAAGAGACATATAGGAGTGGTGGCATTATTTATTTAGCCTTTTCGCGGGTCTACCAAGTAAAAATTGCAATCTACCATGAAACATGATTTTTAGATGTTTGTTGTGGTCACGTCTTAAATATAATCTTGAATAAAAGTTTATGTTTTTAAAGTCTGATTTGATATATTTAATAAAATATTATATTTAATTTTAAAAAAAATTTATTTAATGTAATACTATTTATTCTGCATGTCATAGTACATAAAAATATAAAAAATAAATAAAGTTAATATAATAAAATAATTTAAAATCTTTACAAATAGAGAAAATTAAATTTTATCTTAAACAAATAACATAATTAAAAGAATTATAAAGATATTAAAATGAATGTTTTCCACATGAACCAATGAAAACAAAGTCTTAAAATATTCTTGACTATGTCCTAATGTCACATGTTTTGATGTTATATGTCCTATTAAAGCAAATTTAATATGAAGCCTAAGTTTTATTATTAATATCTTCAACATCATGTTGATTATCACTTGTAGAATCAAACAAGAGCAACAACAAAGACAAAAGGACTGACAAATATCTTACTCTAACTCTCACGGTGTAGGAATGCAAACTGGATAGTCCAGCACAAATAAGACATACAACAAAAATAACATCACAAATACTATCATTATCATGTTTGGTTCATTCATTACATAATAAACAATGACAATTAACATTATAATGCATATGCAATGGACATGGATTATGTGTTATCATGCATGTGGTGCCAATAAAAATATCACAATTGTGCATTGTTATTAACAATACACATAAAATAGTCTAGGAGCACACGTCAGGTCATACCTTTTGTACACTCTCACTATAAAAACATACTATCAAGCCTGGTCGAGATAACTAAGTTGTACAAGATACATCTCATGCACACAAGGGTAGGATTGAGACTTACAAACCAACCTATCTATAAGGACTATCTCCCAAGCTTTTGCACAAGGAAACCTTTCTGGCGATGTATTTCATATCGTACCCTTAAAACAAATTTTATGTAAATGATGCATGTCAAACAGACTCGATGCAATAACATACACATGATCTCACTTCACATATCACATATTCTTCATATCACCTCATGTATCTCATGCATATTCTCAAATACATCAATTAGTCATTAGTAAAAGGTAATATTAAGATCATAAGAGTAAAATAACCATCTAAGATCTAACAGTCATTGAGCAAGCTGAGCTCCCTAGAATCTCTCACTAAGCTCATAACATCTAGTTGAACCACCAACATCTAACTTAGCAAGTTGAGCCCCTATGATTTCTCGCTAATCGACTAACATCTAATTGAGCAGATTAAGTCTCTTGAAGCTTCTTGCTAAGTGACCAACATCTAACTGAACGAGCTAAGCCCTTTGGGACTTCTTGCTAAGCGACCCAGCATGTCTCGCTATGCGAGAACACAATCCTCCTTATAACTCATGTCTCCTTAGCGACTCCAAGTTACCTTTATCCAATTCCACACATAAACTCATATATATTTGATAAAAGTGTTCTATAACGTGCAATTGAATTTCAAATCACTCAATTTACACATATCAATCAATATCTCCACAAATTAACCTCAGGATTTTCACAAGGATTAACAAGTAGCACTATATAAGTTTATTCATAAAGAATGTCATTCTAATAATTTTTTTTTGAATTAGTGGATGAATCTTTATCTTCAATATTACTAGTTAATAAAAATAATAATTTTAAGAATATTGTTCAATTTCAATACACGAGCTTAATATAATTTTAGATATGTAAAAAAATATTAATTAGAAGGACATTAAAGTCAATTATTTATCGAAAGATAGAAAATTATGTTATTTTTTTCTTTATTATTTATGTTATATATTTTTTATTGAATTTTTTAGTATTCCAAATCTATATTTTTCTATGAAATTCATAAAATCATTTAAAATATTATCATATAAATGTATTAAAAATTGAATTACAAAGTCCTTTAAAATTTACAAGACTTTTTCATACTATAATTGTCTTTCAAAATTTGAATCCAATATATCTCTTATAAAATTGTACAATTATGATATTTGAAGACTAAAATTATTCAACTAAAACTTTAGTAATTAAAATCAATACAATTACAATACTTGATGATCAAAAACACAATTAAGCAAATTAAAAATAAGTTAATAATATATTTTTTAACATTTTTTTTTACTTTCAAATTTTAAAAAACTTAGTTTACTTTTTAATATTACACCCTTTTAATCTTTTATTTTATTTTAAAATTTATTTTAATTTTTTATCTTTTAAAATGTTTATTTTAAAAGAAAATTAATCAAAACTTTAAAAATATTTTAAAAGTTACAGGAACAAAATAATTATTAAAAATAATATAAAAGATAAAAACTATAATTTAGTCTCGTTTTTATTACTCTTTCAAATATTTATTTTTTCCTTATTTGTCTTTTAATATTTTCTCTCCCGTCAAATTCTATTTGAACCAAACAAAGGGTCTGGTAATAGGATGTGCGATGTGGTTTACCCAAACAAATGGAGAAAAGGAAGGCGAAAGCAGTGTTCATGGCCTTCGGCACTAAAGGCGATGTCTACCCTCTTGCTGTCAGTGCTTCAATTTCTATTGATTCTTACAATTGCCACCATAACACAAGTGTTACATTTTTATTAGGTTTTTTTTTTTTTTTTTTTTTTTTTTTTTCTGCT